TCCCCATCCCCCAAACCAAAACAAAACATATGAGCATGTGAGATGCTCTCATCTACTATGTTGCAGCAGCAAAAAGTCTATAAAATTTCTTCTGTGTGCTGTGATCTCCTGCATAAACCTGGCAGAGAAATGTAGCTGCCCATTTTGCGTACCCAAGTGTAAAGACAAGTGGAGAGTGAGAATAGGTATTTTGGAAGGAGATGAAACCTTACTGGTCTTTTGTGGGAATTTGTCAGAGTTGTCCTTCAGGCATGCTGACTTGTATCGGTGAGATGTCTCCAAAACATTACGAAGATCTGCTTGGAACTGGGTCATGATTCTGTCCTGTGTTGTCCCACTTCCCTCAAGCATCTTTGAAGGGACAGATGCCAGTATAATGCAAAGAACAACTTTTGTGCCGTGTTCTTTGCAGGAAGCAATGTTTTTTTACTTCTACCATTAGAGGCAGCAATGATGACTGCTTAACTCAGTTTTTGTTTTCAAAATTTATGAAGATGTCTTACTTAATTTTTAATAAGACCAGGTTGTGTTCAAATTTATGGGATTATAGTTGAAATTATAAAAATATTTACCGCTGTTTTACAATACATTCTACATTAAAATTTTAAGTCATCCTTTATATGTAAAAAGTGGGACTGTTAATGTAATATCAAGAATAAAATTATTTTTGGCTATAAAGAACTAAAAATAGGTTTATCTAATACTATAATTTTGATTTAATACAATAGATGTTCTGCATGCTTGGAAATGGTAAATAATAATTTGTCTATTTCAACGTTTCTGTTGTAAATTCATTGTTTCTGAATGAGTAACGTTATCTCTTAAACTGCTAAGTGAGAGTAAGAAAAGTCTCCATACCTCTTACTTCAGCAATCTGGTTGTTCACACTGGAAAGCTTTCAACACAAATCTATAATTACTAATATATCAGATTTAGGAAATGTGTAACTTATTGTGAGATTCGTGACGGAACTTCTAGATTGGAATCTAATCTAATCCTTGGAGAAAAGACTTAATATATTATTTTCAGCACTTCAGTAGCAATGTAGAAGTTGGTTTCAAAAAAAAAACAAAAAAAATCCTGGGTTTTGGAATGTGCAGTTATCGTTGCCATAATGAGTTCACCCTAAGACAACTTGTGCCTAGCAATTGCCTTTGTTTGTCCCTGCACACACTACTCTACTTAAAAATTCTTCTTTTTTCCTTGAACTTCTAGATTGCTGATGTGAGCAAAGTGAGTACATGGCTTCTTACAAAGCTGTGGGTATCGGTCACGAATGTTTTTTCTAACCATTTTGCTTTTCAGGTTGTCAATGAGCATCGTAGTCTATAATGTCAACACTATTACATTTAAACCTTTTTTACACTAAAATTCTACATTCTAAACAAATACTTTCTATACTGAAAATTACGGTAACTCAAGGAAACAAATGTATCTTAAATTTTTTTGCGAGGGTAATAGAGAACTTAAAACAGAGCCATTGCAATAACTTGTTTGTATAAGGATGCTAACACCATTGCAACGTTTTCTTAAAGGATGCCAGACAATTATATGTAGAATATAAAGAAACAAAAATGAAGGCGAAAGAAGATGCCCTGGCTAAGGCTGAACTTGAAACACTTCAGAGTGAGTTTTTACCACTGTCTTAATAAACAAAGATGTAATATGATATACCTACTACACAGGATGTATGTGAACAAACATTTTTATAATCTTCAAAAATATGTGCTTTATATGTTTCAGCACTGCTGTTAAATTTAAATAAGCTTTTAATTTTGTGACTGATTTTGTGGTAGGCTGCTGGTTTGTTCCTATAGAAGCATAAAACTCAAGTGGTAGTTATATAGTAACAACAAAAGCATACCTTGCTAGAAATGTTGCTTTACAAGAGAGGGAAATTTCAAATGTATGGGCTCGAAATACACATTTTCAGAAGTGACCTCTTGCGTTTTGAGCATTCTTGTATACTTTTGTCTGTAAATATTTTTTTATCTAATATGTTTGTTAATTCTTTTGTGCATATTGAGTTGTTTTTTGTGATAGAGATTGAACATAATTTGAATTTCCAAAAGCATGGATACAGACTTTGGAGATGGATTCATGCTATTGTCGAAATAAATGCCTTAGCGTCTTTATGCTCTTATAAAAAGACCAGATAAGGCAATTATAATTTCCCTTAATAAAGTATTCAGAATAATTATAGGTGACTTTTCCTTTTCTTCTTTGTTACTTGCTTTTGCCAATGTTTAAACCTACCCTCTTCTGAAGACAATTTCAAAAGTTTTTTTTTGTCTGTTTGTATGTTCATGCTTGCTTTATTTACTGTACTTAAGTGCATGCTTTTAAGTTCCTTTATTCTGACAAGTGCATTGAGTGCCTTATAATAATTTACTAGCTTCAAGTATGCGTAAGCCTTTAGGCACTTAAAATACAGCTGCATTATTTATATTTACAAAATAACTTAATTTTGTAAAATCAAAGAACTGGGGAACTGTTGGGCAAACTCAAGTGGAAAAAGAGTGTGTACAGATCATGGAAGGAGGAGCAGGCCACTTGGGAGGAATATAGGTCTGCTGTCAGAGGATGTCGGGAGGCAACTAGGAAAGCTAAGACCTCCTTGGAATTAAACCTTGCAAGAAAGGTCAAGGACAACAGAAAGGGCTTCTTCAAATACATTGCAGATAAAACTAACACTGGAGGCAATGTAGGCCCACTGGTGAATGAGGAGGGTGCCCTGGTGACAGAGGATAAGAAGGCAGAGTTACTGAATGCCTTCTTTGCCTCAGTCTATACTGCTGGAGGCTATCCTGATGAGCCCCAGAACCCTGAGGCTCCTGAGGAAGTCAGGATAGAGGAGGAGTCTACCCTGGTTGATGAGGACTTGGTTAGGGACCAGTTAAGCAACCTGGCCATCCATAAATCCATGGGTCCTGATGGGATGCACCGGCGGGTGCTGAGGGAGCTGGCGTATGTCATTGCCAGACCACTCGCCATCATCTTTGCTAAATCGCGGAGAACGGGAGAGGTGCCTGAGGACTGGAGGAAAGCAAATGTCACTCCGGTCTTCAAAAAGGGCAAGAAGGAAGACCCAGGTAACTATAGCCTCACCTCCATCCCGGGAAAGATAATGG